GTAAGGATGTGAGTATTCCGGCGAAGTCGAATAGGTAGCCACTTGAGCTGTGATCGGAATTGAGTCATATGGTCATATTTGCGTAAGCAGAATATGAACCGAATCCAGAAATTATGAAGTCGCTCAAGCTTATTAAGCTGGTCCTCCGTGAGATCAGGATAGCAGGCGTCATCGTAATCAAAAATAGGAAGTAGCAGAGACTGTGCTAAGGCAACTTTGGTGGCAATAGGAAGCTAACAGCTTGTAATTGTGGATCCCAACTGAAACGGTGATCGACGGTTATCTATTATTCCTAAATTCTTAACAGAAACACTAAATGGAATACTGGTGCCAGCAATAGTTATGTTAGGACGTAGCTGCAAATTCACTTTGGCAATCATCCTTGAGCTACCTATAATAATGCATTGTGTTTTGGAGGGATTTACCTCTAGTCCAAAGGATTTACTCCATTCTACAATTTGTCGCAAATCATTATTGGTGGCCAGTATTGCTTCAGATAATTGACCGAGAGCGGCTTATCTATAAATTTGAAGATCATCTGCATACAGGTGTTAGGAAGAAGAAATATTTTTGGAAGTAGAATTAATAAATATATTGAAAAGAAGAGCAATTGGGGAACACCAGCAGAAGTGTCGCTCCATGAGGAAAAACTCTCATCAAGGCGAACCCTCTGCTTGCGTCCCTGCAAATAACTGCGAAAACACTCAATCTCCGATGGAAATACTTTAAGTAAGTGCAGCAACGCCAGGAGAATGTCAAAATTTACAGTGTTGAAGGCATTGCTGAAGTCCAATAATGTCAGTACCGTTAGGTGAACTTGATCCATCCCATGGCGTATATCATATGTGATTTTCAAGAGGGTTACTGTGCCCAGGACGGAAACCAGATTGGAGAGGATTAAAAAGGTCATGACGAGAGAGGAATATATTTAATTGGTTATGGACAAGACGTACGAGGTCTTTAGATAAGAAGAGGAGGATAGAAATAGGCCTAAAATCGGCAAAAGCTTGAGGATTAGATTTTTTGGGCAAAGGGATGATTTGGGCTTCTTTCCAAGCCGATGGAAAAACAGCGTTTGCTAAAGAGCTATTAAAAAGAAAGGTAAGTATAGGAAGGATTATATCTAGGATAGGTATCAGCATATTACGACTAATGCTATCATTACCTACCGCATTGGAAGATATGGATAGCATGCCCTTCTTAACGTCACATTCGGTGAATTGAGTAAAGACAAAGGGAGAATAGTCAGGAACTGGTGTGAATCACTAAGACTAGACGATGAGGAGAAGTGAATATTAAGTGAGTTTATATCGACGACACTAGGAACTGACTTTTGACGAGCTTTACCAATTCCAAATGACCTAAGGAAGTTCCACACTTATGCGGTAGGGGTTATCTTAAATATGCTTAGGACAAAAACACGTATCTGCATTGCCGTGTACTTAATTACTGTAACAATCCTTTCCACTGGATCCGAATTAGGTTATTTAGGCTAGTTCTAGTGGTTATAGTGCATACCTATAATATGTCGGTGGCAGACTGTTTCGGATATGTGCAAGGTTGTTTTTTTATACATAATAGGCAATGCGTTTGACCACAACCTCACTTGATGGAAAGCGTTGTTGAGGCCTAGGATGGTACACTCCTGTCTCGAAGATGCCTGTTCACTCTGGAGTTGAAGATGGTCCGGGAAAACAGACCTCAGCAAGGAGTTCCACTCCCTAGCCGTTCGCATAATGAAAGCGGAAGCAAATCGCTTCGTACGAATGAGAGGAACTTCGACAACTTAAGTGTTGTCAATCGGTTTTTCTTATGTTTTGTGATACCAGTAACTGGTATCTCGTTGGTAAATTTCCATTTGAACAGCCTAGTTCATATAGTTAAAGATAAAATGTTTCCTTATCTGTCACATTAAAGAAAATCCAATTGTTTAATAAGCAGCATGTACTTACATGTTTTCATTTGCAATAATATTGTTTGTTAATAAATTATTCGCCAACCTTTTTGGCGTTACGTAATTCTTTTTTATCAATAAACGGCCAGTTATCGCTATCAGTAATGCTGTCATTGAAAGTTATCGTGTATCGACGAATTGACTTATCTGTTGCTCTTACTGACATCGATCGCCATACATTGCTACTGATTGCCGGGTAAAACGACTGGAGTGCCGGGTGGGTATGAGATACAAAATAACTTAATCAAAAAAAAAACGGTAGGTATATGGCGTGAGAAGCTACCTGTGTATTTCAATTATAAAGTGTGTTGTTTTATGATTTCCAAACTGAAGTTAAGTACATATGAAATCAGCTGATGTTATCTATCTCGTGGTTTGGCATGCAAGTAATAAGTAGTTATATATATGGCGCGAGGACCTATGTAGGTATTTAAATTTAAAAAGGTTTTGTTTAATAAATTCCAAACAGAGGTCTTCATTACAGTTTGGAAATCATAAAACAACATATTTTTAAATTGCAATACATAGCTCATCACGCCATTTACCTACGTAGTATCTAATTAGTCTGTGCATTTACCTAGTTGTTACCTGGCATGCCAAACCACGAAACAGATAACATCAGTTAGTTACATAGAAGCACATCTTTCTCGTATGAAAAAGGAGGTAACTCTTATTACTGGAATGAATCCCGTATTTAATGGTAAGCGATGAAGGGCAAGAGGATGACTGCAGAAGGAATGAATAATTTGTGTACCAGATGTGGATCTGAATAAAAACCGGTAAGTGCGCATTGGACTCGCTCTGACATGAAAGGCGGTCGTTTATGCGCCATTGTAAAGGGTTTAATATAAAAAAAACCGGCCAAGTGCGAGTCGGACTCGCGCTCCGAGGGTCCCGTACAAACCTGAATTTTCAAAAATTTTTTTTTATTATATTATTATATTATATGATGTAACTAAAAATTTTCGGTTTCCCAATTTTTCCTTTATCTGTGCTATAAGACATTGCTTCGTACCAAATTTCAAGATTCTGAGTTCACGGGAAGTACTTTGTAGGTTTTGATTCCCGTGCGAGTTTCGAAAATTTCCAGCATAAACGGTTGTATCTTATGATTGTTTTGGCTTAGAAGTTTGATTTTTTTCACAGCTCCAAAGGACAGTAGACCTGAGTATTTTATATGAATTTGAGTTTGATAAGTCCACGCGTTCCTGAGAAAAACGGTCTTGACAGACACACGGACGGACAACAAAGTGATCCTATAAGGGTTCCGTTTTCCTTTTGAGGTACGGAGCCCTAAAAAACGTGATTTCTTAATGTCTTATTTATTTCAGTTGTTGTAAAAGTTATATTATTTCCATATGAATAATGATTCATGAGATTACAGCCCGCTGTTAGACAATGATGGGCAGCGAAAACCCAGAAACAGGGCTCCGTTAATTGAGTACGGAAAGCATAAAAAAAAAGCATACAGTATAGTCCCATTTCAACATAGAAGATAATAATGTTTTATTTACTTTAAGATTTTTTGTACAACAAACCCACACGTTGTTGTTTAATTTAACATTTAGAAGTTGATGCTTGCAAAAAAATATTATACCGGGTAAATGTAAGAAAAGGTCGATTAGAACTACATGCATAATATCTATGACCTCAGGCATTTCGGAATACGTAATTAAATAAAAACTCATTTTCATTCTAGTACGTTGTACTAGAAAAAAAAAACTACATTCTAAGGTGTATTAAAACGAGGAGATTCCGTAATGCTTTTATTACGCATTTATCTTACACTTCAATCGAGAGCCAACCAACAATTTTAATTACGCCAAAGAAATTGCAACTTATCTGTCTGTTCTGAATTTCTGATCTCATCATGTCCTTTCGAATTACATACTAAGTACTCACGTAATTCATTTGATCGTACTTATCTCATTAATTTCTTATTATGATTGGACTGCCCTGACCATGCAGCTGACATTCCAGTGTTTCAGTTTGTCCACTCCCATTCTTGCAGTAAACTAACTATTACATAGACAATGCATACCTGTTATGTTAATATTAGATGTCATACGCAAATACCCTAGTGGACCTGGGAGTTGCAATATGCTGAAAGTGTAGTGTAGTGTTCACACTTCCGATTTTATACTTTTTGCAATAAAATCAGTTGTTCGTAAACAATGTTTATATAAAAATACTAGCTGACCCAGCGAACTTCGTACCGCCATAAAAATAGAGACAGGTGGTAGGTAAAAGAGAAAATTTGGGGTTGTATGTATTTTTTAATACTACATTATAAAAAAAAATGTCGATATAAAATTTTAGAGGTGTGTAACGTAGTGTTCTATCAATTTCCTGGAATAACATTCCTCCTAAACCATATGATAACACTACGTTAAAATATCCAATAGTGTGAATTTTGGCGCGAAGGCGCATTGTAGGTTTCAGAACACTACGTTACAGGTGAACAACCATTATCACTAGGAAATGAAAAATAGATAGTAGCCAATACTCAGACCCACGGAATATGCATAAAAATTTTCATAAAAATCGGTCAGGCCCTTTTGGAAGAGTATGGTAAATAACATTGTGACACGAGAATTTTATATATAAGATAAAGTTCGTGATTTTCGTGGCTAAAGTGGTGTCCTAAAGTTTGAGTAGAATACATACTTTGTTCTTTGAATAATGTTAATTTATAAGATTCTTATTGAGTAGAGATTTCATTTATGCAAATTATATTCTTTGTGTCATTTAAATATTAGGTAACCTACATAAGTTACATAATTTATCTAAGTATACATAGAATGCAGATTTTTTTACTTTTCGTCAATGGAAACTGAAAATATTAATACAAATTATTTCACTAAATAGCTCTCCTAAAATGACATAATTTAATTGTTTTTTTTAAATATATTTTTTTTGACTAAGCGTTCATAAAGCCTTTAAACAATTCCTTGTCAAGTTTTTGCGGCTCTGGCGAGCACGTAAAAGCTCCGTAGGAATACTTCTTACGTATGCCTAATATTAATGTAATCTATTTTGTTCTCAGCAAGCGGAGATGACTTGGGTGGTGGCGGAGCACCAGGCGGGCGGAGCGGGAGAGCTGTCAGTTGCGAAAGGGCAGCAGGTGGAGGTGGTAGAACCGTGGGCCGGGCGTGCAGACTGGTGGGTGGTGCGCGCGCCCGGCGAGCCCGCGCAGGAGGGCGCGGTGCCAGCGCATGTGCTCAAGCCGCAGCCGCAGCCCAAAACCTCGCCCTCGCGCCGACCCTTAAGCCAGCCCTGCGACGAAGCATTAGGTCAGTAATGCACGTTCATTATAAGCAGATACAGATTCAAAGTTAATTGCGGCTGTGAAGTTAGTGCGAGTCATGGCGCAATAAACGCAATGTAGGATGTGGACGATGATGTAGGTGCACATGGAATGTCGCTGAACTGAAAGCTGCATATATTGGCGTATAGTAGTTGCGCTATTAGGTCAGTGATGCACATTCATTATGAACAAAGACAGATTCAAACTCGATAGCGGCTGTGAAGTTAGTGCGAGTCGTGGCGCAGTGAACGAAATGTAGGATGATAAATGCTGAAATGAAAGCTGCGTCATCGGACGATGCGCAGGTGAAGACTACATGAGAACCACTATTCATCACCAGTTATCAGTTTCTTCAAAAATGGTTCGTCGTAATACAGAATCACAAATGAGTACACGGTTCATTAGGTTTTTTTCAGTGAGCTCGTGAGGCATCCAAATATCAAGCTTCTTGTATACCCAGCATATTTTCAAATGCGCCAAAACTATTTTGTGGTCGATTCCCAGTTCTCCAGCTACGTTTTAGCATCCATTTTATCCGTAACAGGGCGACCAGAGGGACACTGCACTGCTCTAAGTCTACTTTTTTCGGGCTTGCGTTGCATTTTTACCTTTTTTGTAGTAAAATTTTAAATGTATCAAAGGAGATTGCTCAGCTTCCATACATGTTTGGCCTAAAGACCAATAATCATAAAAAATTGTTTCCTAGATTCGAAATTATATATAAATTACTGTAGAAACGAATATTATTGACGGACACCCCTGAGAACTTCTATAAACCATATACACGAATGTTTTGGAGGTTGTTTGCAAATAGGTACATAGGTATTAAAATAATAAAAAACAAATAAGTAACGAAATTATGTATTAGATTCAGGTATATAAAACATGTAGATTAATAGATAGTTGCCGGTTTTTAAAGTTAATGCATAAGAGTAACTTTTAAAATCAGGTATCATCTATGCATTTCCGGTTATAATAAGGTACTCTGTGACAGAAAATGTGTGTTATATTTTGTGAATGAGCCACAGATTAGAGAGAATTTTTAACTCTCGTTAACTATAGAAAGCTTATTATTTTTGTTATGTTTATATTATTAGTATATCACACATTATAATGTGATATTATGTTAATGATACCAAAACCAACCAGATACAAATGGTATAGCCAAAGAGATTTTATTATAGTCCGGGAGGCACCAATCCTGAAAGCTCCGTGATCAGGGATTCTAATATTTTTAATAAAAAATAAAAGTTAAGGTTTAGACGAACATGATTTGCTTGGACGGCGTGGATTTGATTGGCCGGAAATATTTTAATTAAATTATTTATTCTTAAATTTCCATACTTTTTTTCCGTCATCACGGATTTTGATCAATCTTATATAGAACTAGCGGGCCCGACAGACGTTGTCCTGTCTAGTATGGTAGCGCCGTCTGTCGGATCCAATGTAAAACATTCCAAAATCAACAACTACTAATAAATTAAAAATTAATTAAAAAAACATTGTCCAGCGGACAAAATTGTGAATCTAAACCATTCTCAGATCCCCTTTAACACACACAAAAAATTTCATCAAAATCGGTCCAATCGTTTAAGAGAAGTTCAGTGACATACACACTCACAGAAGAATTATATATATAAAGATTTTGTGTGAAATATTATGTTCAACAAGGAAAAATCGGGCCGACTAATGATTTTTAGCCGGAAAGGTCACGCATACGTATTTGAATGGTGTGATTAGGGGTAAAATTTATCCATTTTCATGGAAACCTTTTTTTTTTAATTCACGCGTTTTAATGTCACATTTATAATTATCTTGGTATGCGTGCTGAAGCCGAAACACAACAAAAAACTGCCGAAAGTATCGCGCATACCAAATTTTATTGTGTGAGTGAGGATGGATGTTATAGATTTCACTTACTTGATGACATTTCTTTTAGAGTCTCTCTTCTACCTCTGGTCTCTTCCTTAAAATTTTAACTACTTATTATAATAATTAATATGGAAAAGAGTGAAACAGAAAAATAATTATTTGGGTTGATTATATAATAAATTATATAGAAAATTACCTGAATATATATATATGTAATGTGAGATGATAACCATTGTCGTTCAAATCATCGGAATTTAAGCTTAAATCTTGATACTTAATTTTTTATATTTCCGGAAACTCAGCAAGTTTTTACTTTTTTTAAAAGCGTCTTTCCTTCCAGAAAACGGAGTAATTTTCTCTTAAGTTGATGTATTACAAATAAAACACTTCATATTGAAATTGTTATGATGAAACGCTGAGATTGGATCTAGCTAGTGCAACAACACGCACAGTATACTGAATCAATCATCACTATATTACTAAAATGGACACAATATCACCAAAAAATGAATATCTGTTTAAAATATCAAAAGATGTACAAATATTAGACGGTTTAACAATGTTAAATAATTATAATTAAAAACATTTTTTTTATATAAATATTCAACAGTGAATTTTGCTAAATTAATAAATATATTTGTTTCTTAGGTTTTCACGCACACATATGCTGATGCGTAGTAAGCTATACAAAATAACGACACTTTTGACAGCTAGGAAAACAGCAGACTGAAATGTCGAAATGATCTGAACCCCCAAAATGCTGTAGGACAACGTAGATATGCTGTGACCTTTTCGGAGTAAGAGAGAAAGACCTATGGAACTTTAACATAAATTCGATGTTACTCATATCTCACTTACTCTTGGAGCAGTCTTATGGACTTGAAAAGAAACCGGAGTAAGAGAGTTAACACTATGCAGCCCTGTCGTAGAAAAACCTCATTTTTTTTACCTTTAAAAAGAGACGAACTCATGCAAGGTTTCAACTTGAACCAAAAATCTGCCTCACTCACTCTTTACAGAAATATAGAAACCGTTAAAAAGCGGAGAGTTAAAATTTGGTATGCGCTATACTTTCGGCAGTTTGTAAGCACGCATACCGAGATAATTATAAATATGAAATTAAAACACGTGAATTATTGAAGTTATACTTCTTTAGGCGCGTTATGAAAAAATGATGAGAGTGAAATTTTAAGATGCGCGCGCATCACTGTAACACAAAATTTTAACACCACATTTCTCTATTTAGTGGGTGCTAACGACTGCATTGTGAAGGCCTATCAAAAGTATTTATTAATCTGGAACAACGGAACCAAAGCGCGATTCAGGAGCCTACAGCGCCATCTCTTGACCATTGGTGTAGTAGAACCAAAAACCACATCTTTATTTTTTGTAATAAAGTAACAGTTATAGGTATTCATATTTATAATATCAAAAGTATTTATTAATCTGGAACAACGGAACCAAAGCGCGATTCAGGAGACTACAGCGCCATCTCTTGACCATTGGTGTAGTAGAACCAAAAACCACATCTTTATTTTTTGTAATAAAGTAACAGATAAAGGTATTCATATTTATAATATTTATCCACATGTTTCTAGTTTGTATATTCGGAATATGTGTTTGAGTTTCATACAAGTGCAAATCACATATTATTATGTTCTAATAAATTATATTCAGTAGCGATTTTAATTGAATATTTTGATTATTTATTTATTTTTTCAAATTAAAACTGAACTTTATTGACTGTGTCCTTTTCCAGACTTTTTATTAATTTATTGTAATTAATTATTTGCATGCAATTAAAAACTAATTTTAAACGATGCCAAAGAAGGATAACTTCTCACGCGCCTACATAAGTACACGCACCCATTTTTTATTAATTATTATATTAATAAATAATTCTGGCTTTTACAACTGAGTTAAAGTCACGGGACCGGGAACCTGCTGGGCATAGGGGCTTCTCGGGGTAGAGGGCACCTGGCGTCGGAGTCAGTAATGGAAGGCTTCCGAAGAGTTGTCAAAAATACGGGGGCTCTTAGGGAATTGGGAACACATGGGTCAAGTCAAGGGGACCGTCCTGGAACGGGGGCACTCGGGATCACTTCGGGTTGAGCGTTCCCGGGGGTCGGAGGCACCTGAAGAATGGAGTATATCAAAGGTAGGAGGCACTCAGGGGAAGCTTAACCCAGGGTTCGGGGGCACCTGAGTGTGAGAGTTACCGCGTAAGTAGATGAAGTTAGGTTAGTGTTGCGGCCGGCGAAGCGCCAGAACGATATATTATTTAAAGAATTTTTTAATTAGGCAACTTATATTTTATTATTATTTTTATTTAAAGTTTAGAGCCGTATGACGGATTGTTCAGGCAGTTGGCGATGCCCCCATGATCCCAATTTATATGATGAAAATGGGTTGCGATAAGGAACAGCGATGTTTGCACTTTGATGTATAGTACTTTTTCGTTAACTTCCATCTTTCTTTTCCTATCGGTACCCAGTGCCCCCCCTCGACTGACGCCAGTGGCTCTCAATTAATATATTTTACAAAGAAGAAGGTAATAGCTTAAATAAGTGCGAGAAAAGCGCTCCGCTCTTTCAGAAAAATAATGTCACCTACTTACGGTATGTTTTTAGTTTCCGACGTCCACGCGAAGTCGCGGGCGCAGCCAGTAATTCATATACGAAAACTTTTTAGAGACGGCAAATCGACAATATAATGATTCTGATACGAAATATAATTTGGTACTGATTGAATGAAATATATTTTAGATATTTCGTATTAATGTCGATATTAGTTACTTTTTAAAGTTTTTAAACAAATGTTTTTGTATATAAAATATTATAAATCTCCTAATCTTTTTTTGTAGCCGCGAGTTTTTTATATTGTTGTTATAGATCTCAATTCATACACGAGCATATGATATATCTAACTTAAAAGGTGTATTTAGATATGTTGTGAGTACAACATTTCTAAATAAACCTTTTGAGTTGATATACGTATATTCATGGGCAAAGGGAGGGTACAAATGAGTTGCCACACTGTACTAATAGTTTGATGGCTCACATCCGATCCGAACCGAGGGGGAACCGATTTGCGCGTAGCGCCCTTGTCCGGTAA